AACCAATTTAGGATCTTTCAGACACAAATTGCCATTCCTCCCATCACTTTTTGTACCAAAAACCATAGGCGTGGGATGTGAGACAATTTTGTCACCACACTGGCCACATTGAGTCAAAGCCAAAGCCGAGACCTTGGCATCATCCCTCCCATTCCTATGACCAGCGTCATTACTCGAATGAAGCCGATTAGGGGGATTGTGTCTATGACCCGCTTGCTCCACGTGAGCTTGCCGATTAGACACCATGGATGATGCCTGCCCAGCCTCGGTTTTTCCAGCACAAGTAGAAGCAAACAGAGATGGAAGCTTACCTGAAGTAGACACCACCTCGTACGGCTTGGCTCGAGCCTTTGCTCGCTTCTTGCGAGCCACTGCAGCCCCTCTGCCGGCCATGCGTGCCTTTCCAAGGTGGCCAATGGCCATGGGACCACCAAGGTCCGTGGACTTGGCTACCAAACGACCGCCATGCTGCTTCCCATTCTCCACTTCAACCTCCTTCTCCAGCACAACACCGGAGCCACGAACAAAGGCACCATCATGAAGCCTTTTCCGTTTAGCCTTGGCGTTCTTGAACTTGGCCTGAGGCCGAAGATGGAACCCACCAAGCTTGGCTCGACTGTCCTCCTCCTCCATGGCTGCCATCAAAACTGCCAAGAGGTCCTCGGGCTTGGAATGATGTTTTGCATCCACGAGAGACACGCCTAAGGCGTCAATGCAGCGCTGGGCAGCTATTCTACCAAAACCATCCCCAGGCCTGGAACCCACCGCAGCCATCCCCTTAGAAGCATTCTCCGAGCAGCCACCAAGGCCCTCCGCAACTGGCTGGCTTCCGGCCGTAGCGCAAGCCGAGACATCACGGCCAAAAGCGCCAACCTTCGAGCTACGGCCTTCACATGGCTTCTCCTTAGTCCTCTCAGAGGTCACAACCCCAGCGGAGCCAAGGCTAAATGCCTGAGCCTCTGACGCGCAATCGCCGCCATTTGCGCTGCCTCCAACCTCGCGAGCGCCATCTTGGCCGTCGACCGATAGACCACCGGTCTGCCCACCATGGCTCCGCTCCATTACAGCCCCTTGCGTTCCCCTAACATCAAAAAAGGCACCACTGACCGGCAAAGTCACCGGCACAATCGCGCACAAAGTCGAGGGACCACTAGTCGCCGGAATCACGACTGCACTCCGATCACCCTTAAGGCCTTCGCGACCCACTCCCGGCGTCTCCTGCATATCCCGTAGGTGTGTAGAAGGGCCGGAAGAAGCTTGAGCCATCATCAATGGCGATTCGGCAGAAACCCTAGGTTCGACGGCAGAAACCTCCGCCAACCTCCGATTCCCAACCTGTGCCCCTCGATCATCTCCCGTATCCCCCTACGAGCCTCCGACGCGCCCAGAAAGGCCGGCGTCGAGGTAGCGGCCGAAACCCTAGGTTCGCGATCGGAATTCTCCAACGACGTGCGATCACGCCGATTCTGATTGCGTTGATTAGCCCTTGGCCTGACGAATGCCTTGGATAGCTTTGGGAGAGGATCGCCATTCTTGAAGCACCTGATCGCCTCGTCGGAGAAGACGAGACCTTCGCGACGCAAATATTGCGTACGGCTTCGGAGCTCCTGGAGCGTCTCTTGGATGGTGAATGGGAGACGATCACCCATCACATTATTCGCCTCAGTGAGGCGAGTCTTCTCACCGATTCAGATCGGCCGGACGAAGCTCGCCGGCGCCGGAAAATCCGGCCGGAAGACTTGCGCGAGAAAAATCGCCTGTTTTCTCTCCTTTTGCCAGAGCAAATTTTCGGACCGTGCGCGTTATTATGTCCTACTTATTTTAACTTTCGTCAGAACGCCCTTCACTGCCAGGATAAGACTCTTAAGACAAGACTTTAGGCCATTAAGCTTGAACTCTAAGTATTTAAGTACATATGATTCAGGAAATTTAGGACGCGTGGTGAGGCTGTGAATTTATCTATCGTTATATGCCTAACTTCCCCTCTGTAACACCCCAAAATTTCTGAACTTTTAAAACTTATATAACAAAGGTAATTCTTCATTAAATCCCAAAATCAAGCATAAGAGTATAGGGTGCTATGCCACACCTGAGCTAGAGAACTCAGTTGCACAGGCTAACTAACTAAAATCCTCAAATATTTGTCAATACATAATCATGGCATGCAGGCTGAAAGGGAACTAGCTACTCTACGCCTCGGATCTCTAGCGCGCTCTGGGATCTACTCATCTGTGCCTGAAAGACAAATACATCTGTTCAGCGAGCGATGCAGGTAACTCACTCCAACGCGTCGAAATACAATACAGGTATATATATATGTATAGATATAGGAAAACCATTTTGAAGCAGGAAGATATATACTTAGAAGACTCTAGCTTTAAAATCGGGAATAGACTCAGCAAGTAGGGACAAGCACATCAAATAATAATAAACAGTTAAGTAGAGATAACATCATAAGGAATACGCATCTAAGGTCGCAGAACACTTTTCAATTCAAGCACATCATCATTCAATCATCATTCATATCACATAATCGTTGATGGCGCCACGGGACCAATCGCATGCCCCGAACATGAGGGTTAATGCCTATAGCATTAACACGACCCCGCAGCACCCTACCTCAGTACCGTGGTATGAGGGGAGTTGATCGCAACCAACCCTTTGAGAACCGCTGACGAACTCAACGTCGGACCACGATCCGACACACCGCTGACGCGCACAGTCGGTGGACCGCGATCCCCTTTACAAGGGGGACTTACGACCCTACACACCGTTGATGCGTACAGTCGGTGGACCGTAGAGGATCAAGCCCGACACACCGCTGAGCTATACTCAGTCGGTGGGCGAAGATCCTTGGAGACTACGGCCCTACACACCGCTGTCCCATCACTCGGTGGATCGCAGCCAGCCGTAGCCCTACACACCGCCTGATTACTCAGGTCGGTGGACTACAGCCTTCCTCGGCTTATTAGCCCTACACACCGCCTGGCGCGTCCAGGTCGGTGGGTCATAGCACCGAGGCCCATGTTGGACCGTAGCCCAAGAAGTGAATCAATTCGGCCTTTAGCCAATGTAACACCCCGTGTTACGACCCCAAAAATCAATTAATCAATTACCCAAAAGAAAGGATTAAATCACAATAATTAATTAGGAAAGGCCCACCATAGTCCACGGGCCCTTATCCCTAAAACCCAATCCTTAGTCCCAAAAGAAATAGAACTAGCAAGCCCATAATATTAGTTCCTAACTAGGACTCCTAAATATATAAATAGGGGACTTAAGAGGCACCTAGAAACCCCCCACCACAATAAACGCCCACCACCCCAAAGAGCTCCAAGAATCCCCTAGAAGAAATCAAGAAAGCAAGAAAACCTAAAGAAAGACCCTTCATAGCCAAGGAACTAAATAAAGGCTAAGAGGTAACCCATGTCTCAACAAAACCTATTTTCATAGTTATGATTCCCCCTTAGGGTTTCCCCCATATTATTGTGATTCGCGAGATATGATGATGATTATTAATGTTTGATGTGATGATCCCAAGAGGGATCTTGATAATCTTGATGTTGGGAGATTCTTGATAATTATGGTGTTTTTGATGATTATATGGAGTCCTTGATGATTATGTGTTGTTCTTGATAATTGTGTGATGCCCTTGATGCATATGTGTTATTCTTACCGAATCTTGCAATTAGAAGACGAATCGTATCCTTGTTGATATAAAAGTGATTAGAACCCTAGGTTGTGTCGTATGATATTATTCTTGGATTATCGGGTGGGGAAATCGCATGTTTGGGTGTCGATTATGTTTAGAAAAGCATGATAGGTTATGTGTCGTTCGTTTCTCGTATTTGATCCGTTAATTGTCTACGTGTTGTCGTTAATTGCGTTGTAAAGTGTCTAAGCATGGTTTCGGGTTCCACAATGGATCCCGGGGTGAAATTGTGTGATAAGAGTCAGTGGGGGGTAGGGGACCCGCCACTTACCCACGGTCGGAAATTATATCTCCGGCAGCGGGCAGCCGGCGGGCGGGCAGCTACCCGCCGACGACCCGCTGCCCGGAACAGTGTTACCGGCGGGCAGCCGGCGGGTGGCCCCCCACCCACCGGCTACCTGCTGGAAATTCTCCCACTTCGGGATCCCGGCCTCCCCGTTTGATGTTCCCCCGTTCCCCGTGGTGTCTCAACGGACTCCGTTTATCGTGCCTGTGTCTAGTTTGATATTTCGGGTACCGTTTGTAGGTTTATGAGTCTACTGTATTGCATGCTAGTTGAATTTGTATCCCGTTGACCTACGTGGAAGAAGTATGAACCCCGTAGGACCATTCTTAATATGTGATGGATCACGCATAGGTTTCGTTATACGTTTTCTCCCCCTTCCCAATGCGTTAATGTGGGTTGCATGTACTTGCTATGTGTTATGTGTGCATGTAACCCCGAGTTGGTTAAGATCAATCGGGCTATACGGGCAGTCGGGTGGGCTGAGAACCATGCCGGCTTTTAACCAGGCTGGTAGAGACCGGTCAAGTATATAAATATTATATTGGACTAAGTTCCACTATACGGGCAGTCGGATGGGCTGAGAACCATACCGGCTGTTAACCAGGCTGGTAGAGACCGGTCAAGTATATAAATATTATATAGGACTAAGTTCCACTATACGGGCAGTCGAATGGGCTGAGAACCATACCGGCTGTTAACCAGGCTGGTAGAGACCGGTCAGGTATATAAATATTATATAGGACAAAGGTCCACTATACGGGCAGTTGAATGGGCTGAGAACCATCTCAACTGTTAACCAGGCTGGTAAAGACCGGTCAGGTATATAAATATTATGTAGGACAAAGGTCCATCAGTCGGTTGCGATCGGCTCCTCCATAATGTGAGACGGGGCAGGGTGCTGCGGGGCCGTGTCAGAGCTATATGCGCTGACCCTCATGTATGGGCATGCGATTGGTCCTGTGGCGCCAACAAAGTGTGCTATGGGATGAGATATAGATGAGTTTTGGTTATGAGTATCTTGGGGAATGTGACTATGGGACTTATGCTGGGGATTGTTTATGTTGGGTTATGATTATTAATTGTGCTCAGCTTTATCTGTCTTGCTTATTGTAGATTGTATATGCTTGTTATAACTGTTGCTTGTGTCTAGCCTTATCTGTCGAGTCATTCCCGGTTTTAAAAGCTAGAGTTCGTAGGATATATCTTCATGCTCAAAATGATTTTCGTATATCTATATATATCTCTATATGTAATGTATTTCCATGCGTTGGAGTGGGTTACCAGCATCTCTCGCTGAACAGATATATTTGGCTTTCAGGCACAGAAGAATAAGTCACTGGAGCGCGCTAGAACTTGGAACGTAGATGTAGTTAGTTTCCCTTTTGGCCTGCGTGCCATGTTTATGCATTTACTTTACCAAGGATATTAGATAGTTAGCATGTGCACCTGAGTTCTCTAGCTCAGGTGTGGCATAGCACCCCGCACTCTTGTATTATGTTTTGGGATTTAACGAGGTTTCACCTTTATTTTATAAGCTTTAAATATCTTGAAAATCTGGGGTGTTACAGTTGGTATCAGAGCCTAAGTTTGACCCTAGGAAAAGACTCTTAAAGACCGGACTTTAGGACATTAGGCTTGAACTCTAGGTACCTGGGAGCATAGGACTCAGGAATCTTAGGACGCGCAGTGAGATTGTGAAACCTACACATAACTTCCCTACACTTTACCCTTCCCCATTCTAAACCCTCCCCCCACTTATCACTTCACAAGAAGTGCGTCGAACTCTAACTTAACATTCTTATAAACGCTGACCAGAAAGACGATAACATGGCACCGAACAGAAGGCAATCCAGAACTCCAGAGCCCACCACAGACGACCCCTTAACCCGAACCCTACAGCAACTAACACAAGTCGCACAGGCACTAAGTGACGCGGTCCTTCGCAACAACAGGCCCCCACCGCCTCCGTCAAACGCAAACTCGGACGTCGCCCGACAAGTTTCAAATCACCGACCACCCACGTTTTCGGGAGAAGAGGATCCCGCGGTCCTGGAAGAATGGATCCGGACTCTTGATAAGATTTATGGAGTAGTAGAATGCCCGGAAGAACGCCGCGTAGAGATAACCTCGTTCTACTTCGGGCACGAGGCCGATCTCTGGTGGATCCACGAGGGGCCCGCTTACCAACAAGAACCGTGGTTCAATTGGGAGAACCTCAAAACACGACTACGAGAGAGGTTCTACCCGACACACGTGAAAGCGTCCATGTACGAGGAGTTTCTCCATCTGAAACAAGGGACAGCGACCGTTATGGAATACCACAAACGATTCCTTGAACTAGCACGCTTCGCACCCGAACTCGTCCCCACCGAAGTAACCAAAATAGAGAGATTCGTATCGGGCCTCAACTTTGAAGCCCGAAAAGCACTAGTAGTAAGCAGACCCCGGACTCTCAACGAGGCTTACTCCAGTGCTGCCAACCTCTACCGAATCCAACTACTCCAACGCGGGGTTCAGGAACAAATGCGGAAGAGGAACCCCGGAGGGGGGGCGCCACCAGTAAAAAGAACAAGGAGCGACACCAACACGAGACCCGGCAACCCGACCAACCAAAGGCCACCTCGGGAAAAAAACGACGCCAGCGCCAGGGGCTTCCCTTCCTCGAAATGCAACAAGAGCCATAGAGGCAAGGATTGCATGGGCAAACTCTTGCGATGCTTCAACTGCGGAGAAGAGGGACACAAGGCCTTCCTTTGCACCCAACCCCAAAGGCCACGCACTACCACCATGGGACAACATGGGGGCACCACCCATCAAGGAAACTACGGCACTCCCGGAAAAATATTCGTCATGAGCCGCACTCAAGCCAACCTCGGAAACGAGGGCGATCTCGAGGAAGGGAACCAAGGCCTAGAAGACGAGGACCACGCAAATCCCGTGGGAGAAAGCCAAGAAGACGAATTCTGCCTAGGTTAGGTTGGCAATTTCTTGTAATCACCTTCGTGGTAGAGTTACTTACTTAGCTTAATTACTTGGAAATATTATAAATAAAAGATTAGTTCGTAATTCGGTTCTACTTGCAAACTAGCCAAACCTCACCACTAGAAGCCGAAATAAGGAAAAAGACATAGGCCCCATCATCAAAAAGCCTAGTTTTGCCAATGAGAATTGAACTCTAGACCTTCTATTTACAAGTCCAAACCCCTAACCACTAAGCCATGAGTGTTTCTTGAAACCTCAAGGGAATACTCCCTTGTTAAACCCCTCCAAATCCCTAAACCCCACAAAACCCCCAAATCAAAAACCCTTCTTCTTCTTCCTCCCCTTCTTCTTCCCCACTCTTCCCCTTCTCTTTCTCACACCCCTCACCGCCCGACCTCAAAGAAACCAACAACCACCCATCGTCACCGCCGATCAACCGCCGCCGCCGGCCGAACCCCACCCGCAAACGTCACACCGCCGCGCCGCAGTCCCAGCCGTCCGCAACCCGCCACCCGGAGGCTCCCCAGCGGCGACCCGCTGCTCCTCCACCCGAACGACGCCATCCCGCCATCTCACCCCCACCGCACCAACGCCGAACCTCCACCTCGCCGCCGTCCCCCTCGAAAACAAGAAACCACGCCGCCTAGAAACTCGCCGGAAAAACGCGCCGGAGCGCCGTTCACCTCGCCGGAAAAACACGCCGGAGCCCCGCCGCCGCCTCGCCGGAAAACGTCGCCATCAACCGAAGCACCACAATGCCAAAGCAACCCCTCGGAACCCGCACCACGGAATGGAGCAACGCCGATTACACCGTGATCGGAGGTAAAGCACTAGAACCCGACCAATTCTCTCCGGAATTGGTTGATATGCTCAAACATCAAGGGCTTTTAGATGCGTATCTCACCATCAAAGGGGATACGTACCCCGAATTGGTGAAGGAGTTCTATCAAAACCTTGTAGCCACCAAACGGGGCGACAAGGTAGAAATCACCACCAAGGTCCGTGGCAAGGAAATTGTGCTTTCCGAAGGCCGTTTGGCCAAGCTCTTGAAATTGACCACCACGGGTGTGTCTGACTATGACCGAAAAGGGTGGATTGATACCCAAACTACGGGATACAAGGACTACATCGGGTACCTACTCGGGAAGGAGGACGGGTTCACCTCGGCCACTCGACCAAACCGAAAGTGGCTAACGGCGGAGCAAAAGATATTGGTTATGATTGTAACCGATAGCCTCTTGCCCACCAATAACAAAAGCAAGGATGTGGGAAGCCTGGAGTGCACCTTTGCTTACCTCCTGAAACATAAAATCAAGTTCAACCTACCGGCACTCATGTTAAAACACATGGAATTCTGCAAGTCAAACAACCGGCTTAGCCTACCCTACGGGATGATCCTAAGTTGGATCATGGAGAAAAAGGGGGTAGACCTAAGCCACGCCGAGGTCAAGACCGCAAATGGCATGGTTTTTAATGCCCAGAACCTCCGCCGCAACGACATCTACTACACCGAAGGGGGACACTACCTCACCATCGAGGAAATTTGCCAAAAACACGAGGAGGAACGAAGAAAATTGGTCGACCAATTGGACATCTCCAACAAGAAACTCAAGCGGGCAATGCAAGATTTTGGGATCCCGGGAGAAAATGAGGACCAGGAGAAGGACGACGAGCCCAGACCGCCATTGCACCCACAATCAAGAGGGAATCCCAGGGAGCAAAACGAGAGCTCGATCAATGAGCGCATACTCGCACAACTTAACCGACAAAGCCAAATCATGGAGGAAGGGTTCACATCCTTGATCCGTACGACTCGCGCACTAGATCAGAGAGTGGCAGCAATCGAGGCCACCTTGGGCACTCGCGGGGCATCCAGCTCAGGAGCAGGAGACCGAGGTAGACCTAAAACCCTTCTACCACAACGCCACCAGAAATCCAGTCTACCCCAGCTAAGGCAAAACGTAAGGGCCACACTCCTAACCGGAAGGCCAAGATACGGGATGCCTAGGGGTGAAAGAGTGGATTAACACACCGGGCTTCGAGGACGAAGCCCCTTGTAAGGGGGGGAGAGTGTAACACCCCGTGTTACGACCCCAAAAATCAATTAATCAATTACCCAAAAGAAAGGATTAAATCACAATAATTAATTAGGAAAGGCCCACCATAGTCCACGGGCCCTTATCCCTAAAACCCAATCCTTAGTCCCAAAAGAAATAGAACTAGCAAGCCCATAATATTAGTTCCTAACTAGGACTCCTAAATATATAAATAGGGGACTTAAGAGGCACCTAGAAACCCCCCACCACAATAAACGCCCACCACCCCAAAGAGCTCCAAGAATCCCCTAGAAGAAATCAAGAAAGCAAGAAAACCTAAAGAAAGACCCTTCATAGCCAAGGAACTAAATAAAGGCTAAGAGGTAACCCATGTCTCAACAAAACCTATTTTCATAGTTATGATTCCCCCTTAGGGTTTCCCCCATATTATTGTGATTCGCGAGATATGATGATGATTATTAATGTTTGATGTGATGATCCCATGAGGGATCTTGATAATCTTGATGTTGGGAGATTCTTGATAATTATGGTGTTCTTGATGATTGTATGGAGTCCTTGATGATTATGTGTTGTTCTTGATAATTGTGTGATGCCCTTGATGCTTATGTGTTATTCTTACCGAATCTTGCAATTAGAAGACGAATCGTATCCTTGTTGATATAAAAGTGATTAGAACCCTAGGTTGTGTCGTATGATATTATTCTTGGATTATCGGGTGGGGAAATCGCATGTTTGGGTGTCGATTATGTTTAGAAAAGCATGATAGGTTATGTGCCGTTCGTTTCTCGTATTTGATCCGTTAATTGTCTACGTGTTGTCGTTAATTGCGTTGTAAAGTGTCTAAGCATGGTTTCGGGTTCCACAATGGATCCCGGGGCGAAATTTTGTGATAAGAGTCAGTGGGGGGTAGGGGACCCGCCACCTACCCACGGCCGGAAATTGTATCTCCGGCAGCGGGCAGCCGGCGGGCGGGCAGCTACCCGCCGGCGACCCGCTGCCCGGAATAGTGTTACCGGCGGGCAGCCGGCGGGTAGCCCCCCACCCACCAGCTACCCGCTGGAAATTCTCCCACTTCGGGATCCCGACCTCCCCGTTTGATGTTCCCCCGTTCCCCGTGGTGTCCCAACGGACTCCTTTTATCGTGCCTTTGTCTAGTTTGATATTTCGGTTATCGTTCGTAGGTTTATGAGTCTACTGTATTGCATGCTAGTTGAATTGGTATCCCGTTGACCTAGGTGGAAGAAGTATGAACCCCGTAGGACCATTCTTAGTATATTATGGATCACGCATAATTTTCGTTATACGTTTTCTCCCCCTTCCCAATGTGTTAATGTGGGTTGCATGTACTTGCTATGTGTTATGTGTGCATGTAACCCCGAGTTGGTTAAGATCAATCGGGCTATACGGGCAGTCGGGTGGGCTGAGAACCATGCCGGCTGTTAACCAGGCTGGTAGAGACCGATCAGGTATATAAATATTATATAGGACTGAGTTCCACTATACGGGCAGTCGGATGGGCTGAGAACCATACCGGCTGTTAACCAGGCTGGTAGAGACCGGTCAGGTATATAAATATTACGGGAAATGGCGTTTTTGGCCCCTCATTTGTTTTACTTTTGGAAATTTGATCCCTGTCAATTGATTTGAACAAATTTAGTCCTTCAATTGTTCATAATATAACACATTTAGTCCCTGATTTTATATAATTAAAAACTTTGTTAATCCTTTCAAAAAAACTTTGTTAATAATTTTTTTTTTATGGGGTTATATTTGTCATAAGCATTCCTAAGCGTAATTTGTTTATTCAAATTTATCTCCCATTATATTTGTTGCCTTCAGAGTAACTTCATGAATTTTACCTACATACAAAGCAATGTCCTGAAGCTCAATGTCTTGATAGTGGTCCTCCTTTAAGGAATGTAAAATAGCAGTATTTGCCTTTTATATTAGGTGCATGTTTAAGCTTCTATATTTTGTTCTCAATTTCTCATTGTGAATGTTAAAACATTACCTTAGTTAACGCACAATCAACGACCTTCCAATCGCAATACCCAAACGGCCATCTTGCAGCTCTAGCTATCTGTGCACTTATTGTTGAAGAATTGATGGTTTTGAAAGGAATTGACAATGAGTAATTTTAACCCATGAAAAAAAATTACTAACAAGGCTTTTAATTATATAAAATCAATGACTAAATGTAGTGTATTGTACACAATTGAAGGACTAAGTTTGTTCAAATCAATTGACAGGGGCCAAATTTCCAAAAGTAAAACAATTGAGGGGCCAAAAACGCCGTTTCCCCTAAATATTATATAGGACTAAGTTCCACTATACGGGCAGTCGGATGGGCTGAGAACCATACCGGCTGTTAACCAGGCTGGTAGAGACCGGTCAGATATATAAATATTATATAGGACAAAGGTCCACTATACGGGCAGTTGAATGGGCTGAGAACCATCTCAACTGTTAACCAGGCTGGTAAAGACCGGTCAAGTATATAAATATTATGTAGGACAAAGGTCCATCAGTCGGTTGCGATCGGCTCCTCCGTAATGTGAGACGGGGCAGGGTGCTGCGGGGCCGTGTCAGAGCTATATGCGCTGACCCTCATGTATGGGCATGCGATTGGTCCTGTGGCGCCAACAAAGTGTGCTATGGGATGAGATATAGATGAGTTGTGGTTATGAGTATCTTGGGGAATGTGACTATGGGACTTATGCTGGGGATTGTTTATGTTGGGTTATGATTATTAATTGTGCTCAGCTTTATTTGTCTTGCTTATCGTAGATTGTATATGCTTGTTATAACTGTTGCTTGTGTCTAGCCTTATCTGTCGAGTCATTCCCGGTTTTAAAAGCTAGAGTTCGTAGGATATATCTTCATGCTCAAAATGATTTTCGTATATCTATATATATCTCTATATGTAATGTATTTCCACGCGTTGGAGTGGGTTACCAGCATCTCTCCCCTGAACAGATA